GAAGGCTACTCGCAGGCCGCAGCAGGAGCCGCCGGGCGTGCTTGATGCAGTGGTGAAGCAACAGACCGGCTTGCAGGTGCGGCATTGATGCCATTTCGCTGTTATCTCAAGTGACGCAGAGCTTTGTACATGGAGTCATGTTCTACATGCTGTTTTATTCTCAGTCTCGTGAGGTCGGACGGAACCGGTTTAATTAGGCTTGTGTACCTTGATGAACAAAGTACCGAAAGCCACTGATTCGCAGGGTTTACACTGTCTTTTTGATGTATCTAGGGCTACTTTTTCAAGAATTCCGCTGGGCAATTACTGTTCCCGAAGTAGCCGGTCGTTCTATGCTCTCTTACATGGCTGAGGTATATGGTATCTCGCTCGGCTTTATCTTGAGGTCGTTAAACCTTTGCTTGCATTGGTGGCAGTGTGTCTTTGATGTTTGTTAATTCTTGTTGAACCATGTGTTATGAAATTTCACATCAACGTCGGTTTATGTGAAAGTGCTAGATTACAGGATGATATGCTGTTCAGCTGTGTGATCAGCTTCTGTTTTTAGCTGCTTGCGTCAGTCGCAGTCACTGAGCTTTCGACTAGTTTTGTCTCTATTCCGGATGGAAAACTATTTATTGTTACATATCCCGGGAAATACTGCTCGTCGAACTCTTCCTGAACGTAGGTGGCTCGCCGGTGATCCGGTTAGGGGAGAACAGGGCGAATCAGAAGGTTAGGCGAGCAATTAGCTAAAAAAAACAGTTCCAGTATCCTTCGCGCGAATGTTAGAGGTACATCGCCTGAGACGTTTGGTCATTGTTAATGACAATTTATCTAAATTTCGCCTTTAAAATTAGCACACGATTTTTTGTTACTGTTTCAACAGATTGCTCCTCATCAGCCACACAAAGCGCATCGATCTCAACATTGGGATCCACCTTAGTCGTAAGCGATTTGGTCTTGAGGGAATTCGGGTGAAATTTGAATGAACGACTATCCATGATGGAGATAGGGTGCAGAACGTGTCCTACCGCGAAAACGGTAGACTTGAATTCCGTAAACGATGGGATAACGGATCCGCTTTGAATACCTTTGATTGCATCGAAAGAACCGTGGAATTTTAACACTAGTAAACAGCTATGCTCGTGGTACTTCTTGTGTAGTCACACCATGCTACAGTCAGTCACTTCTAGAGCCGAGGCCTAAAGGATGATGCGCTTCCCAGATATCAATGGAAATCTGTCTGCGGCATTGGAGATGATCGGACTTTTGCGATCCTATTATTCATTGATGTATTTCAGAGGCTATTCTACTAATTTACTCCCCTAATAGTGATAGTGATTGGGAGATGTTCCCATTTTGCTTGTCAGTGGTGCCAGGTATTGTGTCAGTGGCTCGAAAGAAGAAACAACCTGTCTGAGCATGATCAGCTCATCCTGTACATCCGCTAGTTTACTATACACCTCGAAAACAACGTTGGCTGTTTCGACGCTACGTTGCTTCGCTCAGCTGAGTGATTTCCGCTTCTGGATGCTACTCGCTTCAGTAGTGTAAGTATCCTTTAGAGCCATAAGCGCAGCATTCCCTTCATCTGTGACAACGTTGTTATAGTAAGCCAACCGACACCCGTAAGATTTTCCGTCAGTTAAAGTTGGCAGCAATGATAGTAGGGAGCTTGAACTTGTTCTCGGAATTTCCATCACATATGGATACAGTAAGCCTCAGGTAACCCCTTTGAGTGGGCAATACACCAAATGCGATATGGGCCGTGGGTTACAATCCTTTTTTACTGTACGCAATTGCAGACGGTCGTTCATTAATTGACTGGCGACTTGCACAATGCGGCCAGATTCAGCCCTCCTACACAAGAGTGATTGCCATGCGAGTCGGTACGCAGCAATTACATACTTGCAGTGTACTCGTTGAACGGTTTTTGTTAAATATCACAACCAACGGTTGTTTGACCCAAGTTAATACGTAATCACTGTTCTTCACGGAATGGTTCATTCTAGAACCTAGGCAACTTTGCCTTTCTCACTACCCCTTTCTCCTGCAAATATATTTGTCCGAAACGTCAAACCGCTTGATGCCGAATACACTATGCTAGCCAACCTAACGTCGGTTCTTGCCCACGATAGTTACATCTGCATGTTTCATGTCTGCGCAATCAGCAATACTCAGTTACCTATCTAACGACTTATTCACACGTTGTCCGCCATCCTAGGTAGTATTTCATCTGTTATCGTTGTTGACATGAGTGAGATTCTTGAATGGGTATGTGAGTCCTTCCGCTCGCTGAACTCCTGTGGTGAGCAACGGGACATCCAGTTGATCCACGGCTGTGCTGAAGCAATCGCCAAGTGACGAAAGGAGCTAGTGGCCACATGTACACCTGAATGGACGCTATCAAAGGTTCTGAGCGTCTGCCCTTACGTATGATAGTGACCGCGTACCGTGGACACAGATGAGTACGTCAGTGGCGCAATACGAGCGGTGTATTAGGCATAGCGGGACCGGTGAGTTTACTTGCATGGCTTAAGTCATCTGTGAACTGGCGCGCATCATCGACGAAGTGGATGCGGCACCTGAATTGCTTTGGATGTACTCCATGGTGTTAAGTAACGTCTCAGTCCGAGCACTTCAACCGTAATGTAGCTGTGCCTTGTAGCGACCCTAGTTTATGTTACACGACGGACACATTGAGTTTCCGGACAACGGAAGTCATCTGAATCCTAAGGTGAGCACAGGATCCTATGCGTTCCTGTGCCGTAATACATATGAGACACTGCACTTGCCTTCAGCTGTTTGCATTCCTGGAATAAATGGTTGTTACCGGTGATTAATGTGTAGGCGATTGTGACGACGGCCACTTGGGTTAAATGCACGGTACCTATTCTCGCGTACATTGCTTCACTAACGCAAATGAAATCAGTGTAAGATTCAGAATGTTGAAGGCGTTACCACTGCTGCACCAGCAGTGACTCACCCTCTGACTAGTCATCTGTCTCTTGTCGAGGTTGCATCGCTGTACCAGCTGGACTCAAACAAGGCACGCGGACCTGAAATGCTATCTCCTGTTGTCCTCAAGTAGTGTGCGGATTCTTTAGCCTGGCCTCTGGATGAATTATACTCAATGCGCTTCAAGTAATGAAAAATAGTTGGTGAACATATCTTTGGCGGCCTAACGCCAGTACCGAAGAAATATACGGGTACATATCGACCTTTTGTCATCAATCTTAATATCGGGAAGTTGATGAATGACTTTCTATCGAGCGTGAGCTTAACTATTCTATGAATCAGCACCTCTGGATAGATCGAAGCGGAATGTCGCATACTTCGGCATATGCGAATGAAGAATGCCTCAGCGTTACGCCGTACAGATGCTTCTCTGCTACGCAAACACCACCAATCGCGCGTGGGCTAAGAATACTGCAAAGGTCGTCCGGTCCCCTACGCAGACTAGAACCCGCGACCTCAGGGTTGCATGGGAAACCCCCTTGTTCTTTCAGCTACGGACCGGTGCTGAGTTAGTTGCGGGATAATGCCGATTATGGCAAGGAGCAGTGAAAGCCGCTAGGAAGCTATCCAGTGATACTGCCTTATCTTTGCATGATAGCCTGTTCGTGTTGAGTTACTAGAATATGTCACAGCTACTGCAAGCAGAATGGCCGGTAGCTGCTATGTGGACTGTGTCATGGGGACACAGAGCGAGGGATGATGAAAAGGGGGTTGAAGTTAGCGTGATAGGTTTATTGTGGCTTTCACTATCCTGCCCATATTCAAGCGACTGTTAGACGTAGAAAACACTCCACTGGCACAACTTGCGAGTCATGTTCCTTCATAGCTCTAACTAGACACAGCGTTGCCTAGGTTCATTTTGCAGGGGCGAGCAGAATCGACGACTTTTGATGATGTTTGCCCTAACTTATAAGTCGCTGCTTTTTCCCCTGAAACCGATCAAACCAACCGACATTGCTTAACTGAAAGAAAACCTGCCAGTCGGTGCACCAACCTTCGCAGCACTTTCGAGCCAACGCAGCCTCATTTGTCGATCCTACGGACCACTCTTTTGTTTTGCTTCAATATAATTACATATCACCATCGCGGAACTGATGGACATATGCCTGTTTCCGACCTAATAAACCGTTGGCTTCTCTAAATTTACCGACCACTGTTCAACGTAAAACAGTTAGAGATAGTTCATCACGGTCCACTCTCAGTCAGCAGGCTTCGGCTAGTCTGGAAAAGCACCAAACACCGATGTTAAGACCCACTGGTTCTCGTCAGTGGTGCGTTTTTTAGCGGACCCCCGTCGGGTTCCGCCCCCTTGACTTCGGATGTCAGCAGCTAGGGCCACTTCGCCATGGGTGACAGCCGCGGGCCTGCATGATTGTCAATTGACTGTGATATAGCCTGGTTCATCTTCTACTGTCATGCCCGTTACGAATTGTGCAGAGGACAGCAACTAGCCCCACGAGCCAGGACTTTCCGTCTAGTGCCACTAATGAGTAGTGGGGATTGGGTATGATTAAAGACAGTTTCTCGCGGACCACTCTTGCCTCGTGCTAAGGCGCTGTGCGGAAAGTCCTAGCTCGTGGGGCTAGGTGCTGGGGGTCCGCTGAAAGGTGCACCACTGACGAGACCCAGAAGGTCGTAACACCGGTGTTTGGTGCTTTTCCAGACTAGCCGTAGCCTGCTGACTGAGAGTGGACCGTGTTGAACTAGCTTTAATCATACCTAATCTCCACTACTCATTAGTAATAAAACAGTTTATTACCCGCCCGGTGGCACTGTGGTTTGTATCAGAAGGGATTATTTCCCCGAAATCTGATTACAAAACGACACCTGTTTGCATCTCACTTCTTTCCCACGTTCTTGTTACCTATTTTGCTCATGATGACTTGCGTCCTAGTTATTCGGTCCTGCACATTTTTATGCAGCGATTGTCGCTAACAATGTAAATTCCATTTAACATACATTCTTCTCGCTCGCTCACTTTTTGTTCTGTTTCCTTGTAGGTCAGTCGAATCAATCAACCTTTACCTCAAGACATTAGTGATCACATCATCAACCTGTCCAAGCTACCACCACATCATATCTACGTTTTTGAGTCATTGCTGCCGTGTCTGCTCTTACCATCCGGTTAGTTTGCGCACTGTGCAGCCGATCTGAAACTTACTTCTGTCAGCGGCGGACACTATCTGCTAAGGCGAAAATCGTCCTCATCGTCTTCTGCAAGCAGTAGTGTTTTCCTGCATGTTTAGTCCTTTTCTCTGATTTGTGCATTATTATCTTGCAAGGAAATTCCGCACTTACTGAGCCTTTAATGGATGGTACAGCTCTTCATGCAGGGTGCCAAGATCACCACATGTGTTTACTCTGTTTTCAGGGTGCTTGAGTAACACGCTGGTGCAATGGTTATCAACCTG